AATTGCGGCGAAAGGTGCGCCAGCTGCAGCTCAGTAGGGCTTGAAACCTGAAAACGCACCACCCCAAAACTACCCCCCCCTCCAGATGGTATGTTATTATACCGCCAAATTCGTCGCTCGATTTTTATTTTGAAAGGTGTTGCATTCCTCTCAAGCTACCCTTACCCAAGTTGCGACCTTGATACCGTGAACTCGTCCAAAATCACCGAGCCAAATCGGGGTCCTATTCCTCAGATACCGACGGATTTCTCCGTATTTTGCCACTGGCGCACCAGTTTGCATCCTTGCCTCCTTTTCTAACCCACCCAGAGTTATCATACCTACTGCCTTTGAGCTGTGCGATGCGTCACGTGACGCACTGCTCCATTTCATTACTCTGGGCGCCCGGTTTTTGATGCTGCAACAAATTTGATTAATGTGAAACCTCTGGCTCGATATCTCTCTCAGAAAGTATAGTCGATATGAAAACCGAGATGCAGCTTGGATTCCAGGAAAATGCTGTTAGTTATACGCGCTAATGGCATGGCTATCAAGCAGAGGCGTGCCTCTTGGAAACTGACTAAGTTTTTCCACTAAGTTTTTCCACTTAAGGAAATTCGATTTCCTCTACATGTAATTAGCCAGTGTGGCGAATCACAGCACAAACGTACTCTCTGCAACCCTTCTCGGGAGTGTGGGTGAGAGGGGGATGGGGGAGGGGACGAGACAATAGCCTAAAAATTTGCCACGTTGGCAGCTACCCATAAAAATATGCGGTGTCTGACAATGAAATGCAGCATTTTTGGGATTCGCCATGCGTCCGTGTTCCTTTGCGCATCGCAGAGGTATTTGAATGGTTACCCAGTATACATGCACATAAAGCGTTGGGTTGGTAAGGCCAGTCTATGTATATATGTATACATGTAGTGCTGGTGCCTTCCAAACAAGTTTGGCAGTATGCAGTCTAACCACAGACGGATTCAAGGCTTCTACAGACCCCAAAAATGGCTCATTTCCAAGGAAACCCATAGTCTATTGGTGGTATAAATGCTCGAAAGGAAGGTATAATCGAGCAGTTCCTTACTGTTGTATAAAACGTTTACCCGTGCAATCGCTAGCATGAGCTTGGAAGAGAAACGCCAGCATGGCGCAATCCAAAATCCGCCAAATGTTTTCCTATTTTTTACTGACAATTGTACCTTCTCACATGTGTTGCCTCAACAGTGCTAAATACGCCCTTGCTTTCAGGGACCATCGACATCGTTCTGGGTCGCTCGATGTTTTGTTGGCCATTCACCGTTGACACGAGCAATGGGTCCAGACACATTCGCATGGGTACGGTATACTTCTGACTCTTCCCAATTTTCGCTTTAGGACCCCACACATAAATAACTTTTTAGGTGTTCGACTGTTTCCGGATAGGACTGATCGTGGTGCCGTCAATTCTTCTGTTTGCCATCACAATACTTCTTATTCGAACGATTAAGACGTCAGATGCTCCTAAGCTGAAGTTAGCGACAAATCAGTGAATATTCTCACGTCATTTCTTCTTTCAAAACCTTTTGAGCCTCACCTAGCAAGAAGGGGAAGGGATGGTACGACAGTTCACTATCAGCTAGGTGATCTGGTGTTTTCTCAGGGGAAAGAAGCTCTGGGGTGTATGTAAAAGCGAAATAATAATAATTAAACGAATTCTCCCCTTGCAAAGAATGAAATTTCTGTAGGTGATGGCATTGTCGCACCACATGCCCCCTTCATGGAGAAGGCCCAAATTGAATTTTGACAACATATTCGTTCCTTTTTATTGTAGCACTCTAATTTGATTTTTACTTCAGTGTCAACCGTCATAAGCGAGTCAGCTCGGCGTTCAGGAACACCACTGTGATGCTCACTGTCATTATTGTACTGTTCTTGCTGGCCAGGTATGGTTTACTACGTCTCTTACCGTAAGCTTACCGTACCCTGAGCAAAGGCCATACAGTGCAATTGCGTCAAACGCTGTGAAATGGACGTGATTTGCAGTAAGGTCATAATTTTTTGCATAAAGTGCGGTACTCCTTGAGAATTACAAGTTTCTGATCAGGCTTTGAACTTATGCCTGTCTGAGTGTCAAGTATATCACGTTGTAGGAATGTCGCTTTGAGCATTTGTCTGAAGTCAAATTTCGCAACAAGCATCAGCGGCGTATTGAGCAGTTTGCGTTAGCAGTAGTTGTGGTACCAGTAAAAAGTGTAAAGCAAAAGGCGTTGATCAATCCCATTTTGGGGTGCGGCACGCATTCTGTTTCCATTCAGACTCACAGTGGTAATTTGAATGCGATTTGGCCTATAATATGACTTGCGTGGGCCAGCCGATATGCAAGTCAGTGTTTTTCTCCCAGACAAGTCTGGTACCAAATAGTCAACCTGGGATGGGAGGTTTGGTTGGCCCAGGCACGTACCAATCAAGGATTGATACCTGGCCAAACAGAGCACCTGTCACTGCCACTACTCCCCATTTGCGGGTACCAGATGGTGTACTGTTTGGTTATTTGGCCCCTTAATCAGGATCTTGGCCAGCCAAGATTGGTGATAGCAAAACCTGGGTTCGCCTTTGTTTGAATTCAATCGGATTTTGCACCCGCGGGCCGCGCATCATGCAGCGGAATTCCCCTGGTTCTGGTTCACCTCGATGCAAATAATCTTCCTGCTTTTAGGGTTCCTTCAACAGTGCTGATCATTACTGGTGAAGCTGTCTGATCTACTACCGTTGGGCTCGCTGGAATTCGCTCATTCCGCTTACCTTCGTGCGTTTGCCAACATCATTCTCGTCACTCTGCACCCAATTTCCTTCGCCGTCTATATGTTTATGTCAAGGTTGGTTTTGTTTTAATTTGTTTCATTCTAATCCGTGTGAGGTTGGCGCAGTGGTTGAAATCCCCATCTAAGTCTTGCATATCTCATAAGATCAATCCTATCCCGAAACAGCTAGGCTTCGCAAATTTCTGAGCTATGGTAATTGCTGCTAAAAAATAAATAGGTTATTCTTCACAGTCGGCTTCGCTAGACGGCCAGTAGTTTTGATGTGAGCCTCATTGGGCTTTACCAAGCCGTAATAATGCCCTGACAAACACTAATATGCTTCTACAAATTCAAACTTATGTCAAGTGCATGGCGTGTCCGAATCCATTTTTTCCTCCAATCCATCCACCTTGCTTTTTAGGCGTTTCCGTGTTTCATTACGTCGCCTTCTCGGATGGCGTTTTCTTGCTTCGGACGAAGAGTTCAACGCCGTCAACTCGTCAGTGCGGACATCGCAATTCAAATCGCAACAATCGCCGCACGAGCTGTATTATCCCGCTTGGCTAACTGCAGCAATGGTATGTTTCTTCTTCACTTGTGGTGATCCCATAACCCTAAATTAGTTCAAAGGCCTTAGTACACAGATGCCAAAACGTGTATCTATCACCCGCGCAAAATCAATACCTATGCTGTAAGGACTAGTATTGTACAATTGCTTAAAATTGAGAAAATGACTTGAGCGACATCAACTGTATCAGCTTTGTGAAAATTCCCTTCGGATGTTCCCATTTAGTTCTCTATAAAACGGTGTGTCGGCAATCCTTAAGCCCTGCGTGATGTTGTGCCCTTGCGTTGCGTGGATTATGAGCTAGATCATAAAGAGATATCTGAGTGTTTCTAAAAAATTGCCGATTTTCGGAGCATGTCTTTCTGTGGTAGAGGACCGCGTCCCGTCAAGGGAGAAAAAGACAAGCCACCGAATACAACGAAATCAGACACCACTTCGTGATGTGAATGCTGGGACCAAAGAGAGAACAGGCGAGAGAGCACAGGGGACGTGCGAGACGCAGACACCCTGCAGAATTTCACAATTTTTCTCTGATGCGTATTCATTCCACTAGTAGAGAATCCCTATGTGCATGTCACTACATTTTTTGTCCAACCTTTCCTTGGAGGATGGGAAAAAGATCTCAAAGATGAAAACCAATAAACTTCGCTTCCAGGTCAGACCAGTGTGTCCCGTTTCTCGCGGCCGTCGATGTCTAAAAAAGGAGTGGTGTTTGCCCCATCAACGTGCTCGATCTCTTCTGGCGGACCAACGGCCACCAACAAAAGCCTTTCAGAGTGGTCGACAAAGAGCAACTTCTCGACGCGGTTCGCCCTTTTCGCTCGTCGATTTCGTTTCACAAAACGATGTGATACGGTATAGTACCGTCATTTTGTACAGTGAACTTATACTGAATCTTATCTCAGGTGTTTCTTTTCTCGTGTTATTTACACTGATGATGAAGGCAAATTCCACGACCACAAGGCGAGGTTACCAAACTCGAAAAAAATGAATTTTAATGGAGAAGGAGGCAGCTTGTGATTTGGGAGGACTATTCCTTATTTTGTGGTGAACACTGAGCGCCGAGGATAGGGCACAAAGACCGGAGAATCCACAACCGCGGATAGCAACTGCATTAACATGCGCTGATTCACACTTAACGGAATGAAGGGCAAGCGCTCTGATCGTATAGTCCAATCAACGATAGGGGCACGTTTTTTTCCCATGATTAAACTCTGCTAGCCGAGGAAGAGTGCTTTTCATCGGGCTTGATCGTGAGAATGTCCTTTAATTTTATTTTTGTCCTCGTTTGAATACTGATCTGGTAATTACTGTAGATCTCAATCTAATCTATTGGTGATATAATGATATCGTGTGGTGATTAGGCGCAAGCTGTTCCGAAGAACTGTAATCATCTATGTAACCTCTCAGATTTTCTGGCATCTTATACAATTTTCTTTCATCTCTGAAGGTTGTCGCTTTTCTATTCGACACAATGTCACGTTGCGTTCACAGTTCCACCCGACCCGCCTCATACTTACTCTCTACGATACAATTTGCGGGTCCCAACGATGTCTACCTGTTCATAGGCCGTTTGCAATGTGAGGGCAGCCATACCATAAGCAGTTTTTTTTTATTCTCTGGCGAAGTACTTTATAAAACTTTAAACTTCGACTATGTGCTTTTCTTTTCATATTGTGCATATCCGATTGGTTTCGGTGTTTCCCGACGAAAATTTTCTCACATTACGATTCGGAATCAGCGGTTAAACTTATCTCAAATGAAAAACGATACGGAAGTGCACAGAGTAAGAGATGCATAATGAAAAGACAGACAGACTTTTCAACGAAGCTCTCGCTGAAGTCTTCAAGGTAAACTTTTTCTCCGCTTAATCGAATCAGTTCAAATTAATATTTGGGAACAGCTACATTACAAAGCGGCATTTTGAGAAAGAAAGAATTACATTTTTACATTACATTACATTTATTTCCGTTATTCATCTGACATAAACAGAGAAACGGGCCATGATCTGGAACCATTCAGAAGTCGTCACCGTGTTCTGCCAGTCTGCTCCCGCGAACATCTTGAAATCGTCTTCCCACCGCACTCGTGGTCGTCCAACTGATCTGCTTCCACAGGGCTTCATTCATCACACCGCATTCTCTCACCATCGCGTCCTCCATTCTCATAACTATCCCGGTAATCCACTGCCTTTCCTGGCTCGAGCCACGTCTCACTTTGGTCCTTCTCGAAGCTACGTCTCGAACCATATCCGCGACCGTCGAGGTCTAACATTTGCGCTCCAACTCTCCGTAGCAATTTTCTAACATCCTCTGCTGCTTGTTTACGGCCGCACTTTCACCCCATCACAGTAAGAGTGTAAAGCAGCATTTTGGAAGATCGTCGTTTGTCGATCGCAGTGGCGTCATTCTAGGGTGCTTTTTCAATGCTCGAACTTTTCTGTTGATGCTCCACGCAGCGCTGATTCTCTCGGGCTGATTTCTTGTCCACGATCCTGAGGGAAACATATGAGTTGGCCCAAATACACGAAGGAAGATACCAGCTCAATTTCTTCTCCGTTGGCTCTGAGATGCTGTCCATTAGGGTTGCTGGACATCCACTTTGTTTTGCTTGTATTCACTTCAAGTCCGGCCACTTTCGTCGCACCAATGAGTTTATTGAGCATGCTTTGTAGTCCATCGACCGTTGGCGAACACAGGAAAATATCGTCAGCCGTACTCAGATAGTGAGATACCGCTCAATGGGGGGTAACCCGCCCTCCCAGATCAAGTATCACGGCACGATTGCAAGTCAAAAAATGGAACAAACAGAGTAATAACGAAATCCCCCGCCTTGTCTGACGCCTCGTTGAATTTTGATCTCCATCTCTATCGAGTCCAGGGCCAAAAACGATCGTCCAGCAGCGTACAGCTGTTTTATCATTCGAACTGTGCAGTCATCTACTTTGAACTTATCCAAAGCTTTCCAAATTGCTTCGTACTCGATTGTATCGAAAGCTTTTCGGTAGTCAATGAAGACCATGTGAAGCGGTTTCCTCCATTCACGACATTTCTCAATTAGTAAGTTGACGGACATGATGTGGTCACGGGTGGAGAAGCTACGTCTGAATCCAGCTTGTTCTTGTGGAACGAACTCCATAACCACTTCTTCCACACGACGAGCCAGCGCACGGGTAAGAACTTTAAGGACAGTTGACAATAGGGAGATTGGTCTGTAGTTGCTGATGTTCAATGGGTCACCTTTTTTGTATAGGAGGATGGTTTTGGCTTTGACGAAATTTTCAGGGAACTGGTTAAGAGCTCGAAATGTTGATTTATTTCTTTAGCAAGGTCTTCCGCACATAGAGGTACTAGATACTTCGTTACTCCAGATGGTATTCCGTCGGCACCAGTGCAGTTTTTCCACGATTCTGCTACATGCTTCACGGAGTTCGTCTGCTGTTACCGGGCGTCTCAACGGGCCTGTCGCAGAGAAGACGTATGGACCATTATGGGATCGGTAGAGGTCGTTGTAGAATGCAGCTGTAATGGCCGCAGCTTCTTGTAAAGTTGTCGTCAGGGCACCATCAGGACACCGGAGTTGGTTTATTTGTCGACGTTCATACGTTAATTCGTGTCGAGCACGCCTTATCTTCAATTTGTCTATTGCATTTTGCATGACACGGTCGTTGTACTTGCGAAAATCGCGGTTAAGTTCTACCCACGTCTAGCAGTCTAAGTCAAATACTGTAATGCCTTAACTAGCAAGAAAGAAATAACATATTGAAAAAATCATCTCACACAGAAATTCCGCGGCTATGAGCAACTTCCAATAAGTTACAAATACTTGTAGCAGCTCCCCATCCAAAACGTATCTACGCATCGAGACAAACTGAGCAGTCCAAAACTTGTTAAGATCTTTCGAGGCTTCGCTAAATACTAACAAAGCCATGTCAACCTTTATCAGTCATTGTAATTACTCGCCCACTAATCACTTCCATACATTATCCTTGAATGACGAGTTTCTCGCCCATATTTCCGGCTCTTATTTCCACCAAAGGTATCCCTATCCTTTCCCATAATGTTCCGACGGCGCTCAGGACATGGGTGTGAATTGTTCCCTTCGTTGAAAGCGCGCCATGCTGGCGAAGCCACTCCTTCACAGTGAAGGTGTGATGCTTTTGGTCGCACTAATGCTAGAAGGCGAGCTCAGTCGCGGGCAGCTGTCATACATGTGGATAAGAGCTCCTTCTAGAACCCAACTGTATAGGCTGCCTTCACATGATTGCGAATACTGCGAAGTTAGTCGGCGGTGAACTGGTCGGGGGCGAAATGGGCTTACGCACACCTAAAGTGGGGATCCCCATAGGGCTACAACGTCCTGCGGACCAACGAGAGTAAATTCAAGATGTTTGCCGGCGACTGAAATAGGAATGTGTGCGGTCCTGAGGAAAAACGTTTCGATCCAAGGAATTAACTGCCGTATGTAAAACTTGGCGGAGGCTCGCGTGTGGTAGTCCGTAAAAGAAGTTTTACAACTGCACAGGATTAGAGAAGTGGTGAATGCCGACGTATCAGATAGATTCTAGAAGGAGTTTCGTATCCGCTCGTATGAAACTGTACGTGACTGAGTTCGCCTTCTAGCTATAGAGCGACCAAAAGCATCGCACCTTCACTGTGAAGGATTGGTTTCGACAGCATGGCGCGCTTTCAACGAAGGGAACAATTCACACCAATGTCCCGAGCGCCATCGAAACATTATGGGAAAGAGTAGGGATACCTTCGTATAGCATACTCTTTTCCATAATGTTTCGATGGCGTTGAATAGATAGCGATGAGTGCGGTACGGTTGCTTAACCATACCGCTCTCATCGCTTCCTATTCAACGCCTAGTTCCCTGCTCGAAGGATCTTCGCTCTGCTCACTGTGGCACGTGGGCAATCTCTGGTTCATTTGTGTGCCACCAACGAAGGTATATTATTGTTTCTTCTTGCTTATTGTAAGGCAGAGAGAAAGCTGCTATATTTGACGATCCAACTTTTGCTCTTATCTGCTACTATTTTGCTATGGATCTTCGAAGCAGCAAAACGCAAGGTGGAAAAGGCCAGCAAAATGGCAGCAAACCGATGGAAATGGTGCTCCCAAAAGAACTCCAGAAACAAGTCGAGGAGATCACGAAATCGAGTCGAGTCACGGAGGGCATCAAGAAAGTAATCAACGCTATCACTCAAGAATTACAGTCTCTTCGCCTTGAAAACCAAGGGCTCAGGCAAGAGTTGGAGAATATTCGCAACACAATGCCCCGTGAAATGTCGATTTC